CTCTCTCTCTCTCTCTCTCTCTCTCTCTCTCTCTCTCTCTCTCTCTCAACTCTATGGTACACACGTATCTCGCGGGGAAAAAAACGGAAAGAACTCTGTGCCATACCCTACGGACCACATGCTGCCATATTGTGCGTTGACCCAAGATCCAAGCAGCCCACCACCGGATGACACTGTGAGGCAGGCTCCGACCACCACTCCACAACCGGTACTCCATGGTGGGGCCCAACCACTGCCCTACAGGATACCTTCGACGGAAACCAAAGCAGCCTGTAGGCGGTAGGTTCACACCACCCTCAACAGCCGCAGACTGTAGGTTAGGTTCACACCACCCTCAACAGCCGCAGACTGTAGGTTAGGTTCACACCACCCTCAACAGCCACAGACTGTAGGTTGACACCCACCCTCATCAGACGGAAGACTTCACCGGCTGTAGAGGTTCACACCACCTTGAATAGCCAGCTAAGCTCCAACGAAACACAGAAAAGCCTGCCACATATTGGCTTGTACATACATGTTGTCGAAAAGTAGCCCCTGATGAATTGTAGGCGGCAAGGTAGAAAGGACAATAAATGGTTGGATAAGCACACGCACACACATATGCGCATAGACATGCAGGCACACGTAGACACGCAAACACATGGCTGAGTGGGTGTGCAGAGTGGGTTTTATGACTGTGTCAGACTAGTTTCTCAGACTTTTTGCCGTTCTTGTCAGGTATTTGGATTGACAGTCTGCTAGGATTGCAGGGTTGGTGTGAGTAAAGTGGACCACTCTCTGGGGTATCGCTAACTCTGGGCGATGTGGTAAGTCCTTATCCATCAGTCAAATCTGTGTCGGGGACAGACTGTCAGATTCAACCTCCTGATGAGTCGGTGAAAGTCCGACCCAATCATGCTTCTTTTTTAGTGTATAGCCTATATGACAAGACACATACACACACTCGATCGTGTATGTCTGTCTTCCTTTGATTTTTTCTTACTCTTGCCTGTCTAAGCGAGCACCTCTAAGCAGTGCCAAACAGTCGGTCATTCCTCGTCTGGAGTGCCTGCTGCACTCTTAGGGGCTACTCAGTTTGGAATGTCTGTGTTTCCTGCGGGTGATGACGGACGTTCGTTTGAGTGACTCCCTGGCTCAGCGGGTGGTGGGAACTAACAGTCTGCAGGTGTCACATGCCAAATGGCGCAGACCAGAACCAAGAATCGACCTCTCAAAGATAGAGCAATGATAGCACAGCGGAAGACTGGAATACCAATAATCAGACCCAATCAATGTCGTGACGCAGACTGAACATCACCATCATCATCATCACATGGTGTGAGAGGCCTGGCGCTGAACACAGAGACGAAGGGTGCCAGGCACACAATCATACACAGATGAGGAGGAGGGAGGAGAGACGAAAGGGGGGGAGATATGGAGAATGTCACCAACCCAAATGTCGTCCATACTGATCCAAAAATAGTCCCCCCACAATGTATAGTCCCCCACAATGTCTCCGCCCCAATGTCCCAATGTTGTAAATCTCTCTCTCTCTCTCTCTCTCTCTCTCTCTCTCTCTCTCTCTCTCTCTCTCTCTCTCTCTCTCTCTCTCTC